ATCGAAGTTTCTAATTCTTATGAGGAAGGATCTGAGGTCGAGGAAGAACCACATCAGGAGGATGAGATTGAAGTGCCCGAAGAAGAAGCAGAAATTTAGATGCACGCAATGGCAGGGATTAGAGGGCCAAGGACGATGCGATTGTCAGCTCGGGTCAAGGATCGTAGGGTGATGGTGCTCGTGGACAACGGGTCATCGCACAACTTCATTAATGCTGATTTGTCCCAAAAGCTGAATTTACCAACCACGAAGATTGAGACTTTTGAGGTACGAGTAGCTAATGGTGAGAGGCTGCAATGCACTGAATCCTTTCGAAAGGTGCCAATCAAGTTCCAAGGAGTTACGATAAAGGCTGATCTCTATGCTTTACCCCTAATCGGACCTGATGTCGTGCTAGGAGTCCAATGGCTCGAAGGGTTAGGCAAGGTGACCACCGACTACCGAACTGGAGTTATGGAGTTCAAATCTGGAGGTCGGTAAGTCACCCTGTGCACCGACACTGAGAAAGGAACTAAAGAAGTTGGGTTGAAGAGTATCGAAAGAGTTTGGCGAAGTGGTGGTCAAATATTCGCGGTAGTAGTCGAAAGTAAGGAGCCACATACGGAAGAGGCCGGACAGCAGCAAGGCGATGTGCGCGAGCTTCTTAAGGAATTCGAAGGAGTGCTAGGCGAACCCAAGGGCCTACCACCTCACCGGGAGTTTGACCACCGCATACCCCTGATTAATGAGCAGCATGCAGTGCACGTCCATCCCTATAGGTACGCTCACTTCCAGAAAACTGAGATTGAGAGGCAAGTGGCTGAGATGCTAGAATCGGGGTTAATTCAGCATTGCAAGAGTCTGTTTTCTTCACCAGTACTGTTAGCTAAAAAGAAAGATGGCACATGGGGATTTTGTACTGATTATCGAGCTCTGAATGCCGTGACTATCAAGGATCGATTTCCTATTCCTAGTGTCGACGACATGCTCGATGAGTTAGCTGGATCACGTTACTTCTCGAAGCTCGATCTGAGAGCTGGTTATCATCAGATTCGACTCCACAAAGCCGACATACCGAAGACAGCTTTTCATACGCATCAAGGACACTATGAGTATTTGGTGATGCTATTCGGGCTATGCAACGCCCCATCCACTTTCCAGTTTGCTATGAATTCCGTCTTCAAGGAGCATCTACGTAAGTTTGTTCTAGTCTTCTTTGATGATATACTGGTATATTCAAAGTCATGGGCTGAACATCTGGAGCATTTTAGAGTGGTACTTGAAGTCTTGGAGGCTAACTCGTTCCACATCAAGCCATCCAAGTGTTCATTTAGGCAGGAGATGGTCGAGTACCTAGGCCACTTTATATCTCATAATGGTGTGACGGTTGATCCAAGAAAGATAGAGGCTATGGTCGACTGGCCCAAGCCAACAAGTCTCACGCAACTCAGAGGGTTCCTAGGGCTCACGGGCTATTACCAGAAGTTTGTGAAGGATTATGGAACCATCGCCAAGCCACTTACAGAGATGACCAAGAAAGGAGGATTCACATGGACCAAGGCTAGCGAGGAGGCATTTGAGGAAGGGCGCCATGACTACAACCCCAGTACTCGCAATGCCAAGGTTTGATGTCTTGTTCGAGGTACACACAGATGCTAGTGATATTGGAATTGGAGTTGTACTAGTACAGGAGGGGCTACCCTTAGCCTATATCAGCAAGGCGCTAGGCACGACTCGATTGGGTCTATCTGTGTACGTCAACGAAATGCAAGTTGTTGTTGAGGCTGTGAGATGCTGGAGGCCCTATCTGCTGGGGCGACGATTTCGGATTGTGACCGACCAGCAACCACTCAAGCATCTACTCGAGCAAAGGATCGTTACTTCCGAGCAGCAGAAGTTCGTCTCGAAGCTTATGGGATTCGACTTTGAGATATTCTACTGGCCAGGTCGACAGAATGCTGTAGCTGATGCCTTATCACGACGAACAGATGTAGTTGAGCTTGATGCTATCACTGGACCAACGTGGACCATCTGGGAGGAAGTTCGAAAGGCGTAAGGAGAGGATACTTATTGCAAGGAAGTGCGTCAAAAGATCGAGGAAGGAGAGACCATTGCTGATTATGAGTTGCACAACGGCCTTTTACTACATCGAGGCCGAGTGTTCGTTCCCAACAGTGGGCAGCTACGCGAGAAGATCATGCAGCACTTCCACGACTCCAGGATTGGAGGACACTCGGGTATCTACCGCACATGGATGAGAATAGCCAATACCTTCTTTTGGCCAGGACAGCAAGGCACTGTTCGGGACTACATCACAAGGTACGACGATTGTCAGCACACTAAGGCTGACTTGTGACGATCAAGCGGCCTACTACAGCCCCTACCGATACCCGATGTAGTTTGGGAGGACATTACTATGGATTTCATAGAAGGGTTTCCAAGTTCTAATGGGTTCAACGATGTTATGGTCGTAGTGGATCAACTTACGAAGTATGCCCAGTTCATACCCATCACCCATCCTTACACCGTGAAGTCAATTGCCAGACTATTCGTCGAGTACGTGATGAAGCTGCACGGAGCTCCGCGATCTATAGTTTCTGACCGGGATAGGATTTTTATGAGCAACTTTTGGTCATAATTCTTCAAGCTACAGGGAACCAAACTATCCATGAGTTCAGCCTATCACCCACAGACCGATGGACAATCTGAGGTAACTAACCGAACCCTTGAGCAATACCTACGGTGCTATGTTCATCAATTCCCAAAGAGATGGGAAAACTTTTTGCCCTGGGCTGAGTACTGGTAAATACCACCTACCATGAATCAACAAAGATGACTCCATTTGAGCTGGTGTACGGGTGTAAACCGCCAACACTGGTCAACTACTCAGAAGGAGGCACAGTTAACGATGAAGTCGGCCGACAACTCGAAGAGCGAGATTTGATGTTGCGCGAGTTAAAGAAAAATCTCGAAGGCTCGATTAATCGAACCAAAGCCTTCGTAGACGGAAAGCGATGAGAAGAGACTTACGCGCCAGGCGAGTATGTCTACTTGAAGCTGCGACCATTAAGACAGTGCACGACAGCACAGAGGGCAACAACTAAGTTGGGAGTACGCTACTATGGCCCTTATCAGATTTTGAAGCGCATTGGTCAGGTAGCTTATCGCCTAGAATTACCAGAGAGTTCGCAGATCCACCCAGTTATTCATGTCTCACAACTTAAGAGAAGTTTAGGAAAACGCAGAAGTATTGTGAGGAATTGCCAGCAACCGCAACCGATGGTAGGATCATTGTTCGCCCAAAACATGTGATTGAGTATCGCAAGCTGAGGAAAGCAGGACGCTATCGCTGGGAGGTTCTTGTTGACTGGGAAGAGTTGCCACCTGAAGAAGCCACGTGAGAAGACCTTGATGAGATGCACGATCAATTCCCAAGTTTCATCCTTGAGGACAAGGAAACGCTTGAAGGGGACGGGAATGATGCAGAAGTGGCTAGGCAACTCAAGAACGCCGCAAGTCACGCTTACCATGCACGCAAGAGGTTAGCACGGGAAACCGCAGAAATGCGCGCACTCGAGCATAGTGCATGAAGGGCGAGCGAAAATGGCCAAGCAACGGACGAAGACGAGCGGGCGCTCGCGAGGGCATGGATGAGCAGGACGCGTGGGCCACGGTGCTGGCCAGCGCGCTCACAGAAAAGTTGCGCGCCAGGGAAGCACGCACGCACGAGACCTCATGCCTCGAGGTATGCGGAGAGGTGGAGGGGCACGCGTGCGCTAGGGACGCGAAAGGAGTAGGCGTGCGCCGCACGCTGGGGTCACAGCACGCGCGCGTAGAGGCGGTGCCCTAGTCCTCAAGGACTAGTGCGTGCGAGGCGGTTGGCGCAAGGGCGGCACGCGAGGGGCGTACGGAAGAGAGAAAGAGAGTTACTTGGTATACAAGCCAAGGGATTTAGTTTCCAACTAGCTTTGTGATTTCGAGCTTGTTTAAGATTTCTAATATTTTATTGCTTTATTCGTTCCCTAGGTAGATTAGGCTTAGACATATTTTGTGCCTATATAAAGGCCCCATCCCCATGATATTTTTCATCATCAATTTTATGAATAAAAATCTGAACTTTTGTTCTTCCACTTTGCTTTAGTTTTTCACCAAAATTCTATTGCAATTTTATTCGTTCCTAGAGGCGCTGTTGTGGCTCGAAGAACACCTATCGGC